GCTGGAATAATTGGGGCAGTCCTAGAGCTATGGGTGATATTTTGTCCTCTTCCTGCTTATACCACGTCTGCATGATCCTCAAAGAGAAGGGACAGGAGATGTCCTCAAAGGACATTACTTTTGAGGGCAATGTCTGCAGCTTCAGTGTCTGTGTGTGTATAACTGCTGGGAAAGTGTGAATAGGGACAGCCCGTCTCAGAGTTGCTCTTCTGTCCCTGCTAAGCCCTCATTTCCCTCCCCAAAGAGGTATTTAAGTTCCCAAATATTTGTGAAGGGTGGGAGGGAGGACAAGTTAAATGCAGGTGAAAAATCACAGTGCTTTGCCTGCCCAAGAATTTCACAGTCCATCTGCTAGCCTGATTTAGAAAAAAGTGCCTATTTTTACTTCAGCTTTTCAGTAAGGATGTGATCCCTAAAGACCTGCTTTGCAGGAACCCTCCCTTTAGCAAGCAGCTAATTAATGGTCTTGTTATCTGTCAGCTTTCTCCTGTGTGCTGGAGCTTCTGGGGGAGGGATGCAGCCAAAGAATGACAAAGTTTTCCACCCTTCTCACCCCCCATCCCGTGCTGGGCTTCCTGCCATCCCCAATTAAAACTCCAGTGCCTTTATCGTGGAAAGCAAGACCAAAGGGCCACTGCTCCCTCCCTGCCCCTCTATTGCCCTGACAGATGTCTGGCCTGGTAACAGCACGGACCTATCTCCATCGGGGTTTTTTTACTGACCGGGGGATTAAGTCACTGCAGTTTTTAAGCCAAGTAAGAAAAAGACAATGCTGCGGATCGTCACGGACGCTGGCAGGAAGGAGCATGGATTGGGATGTGCTTTCCTGACCTCCTTCAGTGCTGAGCAACTTCTTTATTTAGATTTGTCCTTCCTAAGAGACTGCCTCTTCCTGTGGTGGAGGAGCACGTACGGAGTAAACACGTGTGGGTGCAAGCCTGTAGGTAACAGGGAGGACATACCCTGGAGAGACCCCACTTGTGGGGTGCCCCAAAGCTGGTTAGAAAGAAGATCTAAGCCAAAGTGGAGCCATTTTAGGGTTATGGCCATTCCATAAACTCCTTTTAATTTCTGACCTTCAGCCCCATTTCTCCACCAAATTGTATGTAAACCCTCAGGGATGGAAACCTGCACTGAATGAAGAGTTGCTTGAGGTCTTCATCATTTGCTTCTGCTGATGGCCCTTGCAAGCTCCTAGGGCCAGTCCTGCCCAAACCCAGAGGAGCTTTGGAGTGAGAGATGATTGGGTCACTGTGCTGGGATGGGAGTTTGCCAGTGGTAAGAGCTGGGACATGATGCAATCTGTCCTCATTTTTAGTTCTTGCTTTTGTCAGGTCTGTGTTATTAGAAAAGGGAGATAAGTCTGGACCACATACGGTGTAGCTCTCCTTGCTGATAGGCACGGTGCTCGCAGTTTGGCTGCATGGATATTTTGTAGGGTTAACTAGGAAATCGGCACCAAAAGCCACCATCAGGAAAGGTGCTGCTACCTTTCACCAGGCTCTTTGAAATAAAGCCCATTGAGCTCTCTCAGGAATTCTTCACCACATCACGATGAAGTGATTGAAGGAGAATGTGTCTTCAAATCTCATAAATTCCTATTTCCCACAAATTCAGGGATGGACCCATAGGCACGACGATGCTTTTCTGTTCCTATGAGCAATTTCCCACCTGGGGAAGCAAAGCCCAAGTAACTCCAACTGCAGATGGTGCAATTCCACTCCTGCTTCATTAGAAACCTACCTTAAACATAGGAACCTTTCCTATAGGTTCTTATACAGGATATGTTTGCCCCACGTGTACATTAAAGAATCCACATGAAACATATTATTTTATTATGAGAGTGTATCTTTTAATGTAGAACTTGCTGTTGGTTCTCCTCTTCCTTCTTGCCTACAACAGCTTTGCCTTCTGTTCTTCGTCAAATGGCTCAGCACCCCCAAGAAGAGACAAGGAAAGAAGTAACAGGAAATCTGAGGAAAAATAATAAATCCCAGTGGTGATTATACTTCCCTGCTGTTTGATCGATGGGACAACATCTATAGGAAAAGCTTGGTGTTTCCAGCCCAGAGAACTGTGCATTTCTGCTCTTCGTTGGGCAGTGGAAGAATATAACAGTTAATAAAATCATACCCATGGCTCACTTCTCCTTTGGCCAAATGGTAGCTGGGTTTTAGCACAGCTTTGCTTGTCTTGTGAATGCGTGATCTGCTTACAGCGTGCAATCGGCTTACGAAAGCTGAGCTGCATTGTGCTGACGCAAGGTCTATGCAGCTTTTAACTTGCTGGAAGTGGTTTGGGCCTCAGAAATCAGTGGGCCTGGGGTGTTGAAACTGCCAAAGAGCTTTTGGCATTGGGGAACAGGGAAGGCATGATTTCCTTTCCTTTGCTGGAGGCCTTCACTTCATGTCGGGCATTGGACTCCACATTTCTTGTCTGGAAATGTCCTTGGAAAGACAGTCCCAATCAGTGTTTGCAGTTCTCTTATGCATTCAGCAGTTTCACTTGTTTTTATTGTGATTACTTCTCTGCTTTTGTAGTTTATTTTCCCCTTTCTTCCCTCTTTCACTTATTTTTTTAATTCAGTTTCCTCCTCATCCCGTACTTGTCCTTATCTACTCTCTGTCCTCCATTGACTCACAAAGCTGCACTCTCTGACTCCTACTGCCATGCATTTTCCATCACTGCTTCCCCTTCCTCATCATCCTCATATTTTGCCTCCTCAAATTCACTTTATTCCTAGAGAAAATCAAGCTTCTGGGGAGCTTCAAGGTGGGAAGAAACCAAAGCATGGTGAACTACCCAGCAGAGAATGAGAAGCTGTGGGAGCTTTGAAGGAGAGGCAACCCCTTTTCTGCCACCTTCTTATCAGGCATTAACTTTTGAGTTGAACTCCTCGGTATGTCTGAATAATCTGTCTCCAAAAAAGGATCATAAGTTGCCTTCAAACCGTCTTTGACAGGAAAAACTCACCAAGCAGTGATCCTGTGTGCTGTGGCATGATATAAATGAGAAGGTGACTCATTTTGGACAAACAGGTCATTAATGGGATGAGTCGCACTTCTAGGGGGCATCTTTTAAAAGCTTTCCTGTGTTAAAAAGGTTCCTGTGTGAGTTTGTCTGTGGAAATAAGGGCCTGTGATTCAACTGCAGGCTCTTGTGGCAATCCTGCAGACAGAAATACTGATTCCTCCAGACAGCCACAGGCAGATGGCATTGATCTCCATGGGTCTGTACCTGTCTTGTGCTCCACGAGTCAGACGTGTGTGCATGCAAAATTCCTTTGCTAAGCCCGTGTTGGTCACTTCCAGTCTTTCAGAGTACAACAGAAAACTAAATGTGAAACTGAATTTCTCCTCCCTGGTGGATTCCTGGGCATTATTATGAAATAATTAGAATATTGGAGAGGGTGGAAGGGCTGGTTGCAGGTTAGAGCGGTCAAAGAGCTGAGACCTGCAACCTGAGAGAGGTTTTAGATACAGAGCCTGCGCCTGAGACACCGAGGTGAGGGAAGAGCTGGGGCTTTCTTGTCAGGTTTGAGGATGCTTGAGTTCACTCCCTGCAGGTTTTGAATAGAGACTGTCAGGCTGTGACACTGCCCAGCAGAGCCAAAATCTACACATAGCAAACCCAAGGCAGTCTGTGCTTTCCTGGCTTTCTGGTCCAGCTGCAGCACCTCAACATCTGGCTGAACAACAGGCTTCAGCCACTGAAAATGGCTGGGCTGCCTCACTTGGTCTTCTGCAAGTGATAGAACGGACATGCTTGGATTAATAACTAATTTAATCATAAGTTAATAGCAACTTAATGACTTAATAGTAGCCAGACTGCTGCAGGTGAGTAAGGTTGGTTGTCTTTGCCTGAAGGGAAGCATTGCTTCCTGCCTTCAAATCAGCAGAGCTGCGGGTGCGACTTGACTTGTGTTGGAGCACAGTAAACTGCTCACAGCTGGTGAGAGAAGGGGGATCCGAATGTGCTGGGTTTGGATGGAGGAAAAAGCACCCCACCTTGGGGCATGGGTCGTGCTGTGAGTCACGGTGTCCGTCTGTCTGTCCCGTCTCTGGCAGGTCTATAACCTGACTCAGGAGTTCTTCCAGCGAGGTAAACCAGTCAATGCCGAGAGCCAGAACAGTGTGGGCGTCTTCACACGGGACGTCGTGCGCAAACGCGTCAAGGCCGATCCGGATGACACAGAGGCCGTGAAGAGGCTGAAGCTAGCCATGATCCAGCAGTACCTTAAGGTATGTGTGCACATCATTGGTTGTTTTAATCAGGAACAGACAAATCTGGAGCCTCAGACACCCGGCTGAGCCTTGCCCAGCACTGGAAAGTTGTTTTCTGTGGTCTCACAGCTGGGGCTGTGTTTAGGCTGACCACTTTTCCTCATAAGGCGTCTCCAAAGACAGTGGGCTGCAATAAAAAATACCTTTACTGGTTTTTTTTCCTTACCTTAAACTTCCAGCTTTCTAATCAGAAGGGGCTTTCCTAGGCCCTGTTAAATTTTCTGGTGTAATTTAGCATTTTCTTACCATCTGAAGCGATTATCAGCTGCTTTTAGTAATGTCTCATGCCTTACACCTGGGACCCCAGGATGCTGCCTGAGTCTCTTTTACCCCCTTCTGCCTCTGTCCATATCTCAGAGATCAGAAGAAACGTAACTTTGATATTAGTAATTTGCTGAAGAAATCCCTAGAAAGGATTTTGAAGGTAAAGCATTAAAATCAAAGGTGGACTTTATAGACTGATATCCTAATCGTTTTTCCTCATGGCTTCCCTACTTCTTTTTATCTTCTTGATGCCTTGGCCTAAATGAGATCTCTGTGGGATGAGGACTTAATGCTGCATCAATCACTCCACAAGTAAAGTGTAATAGTCATTCCCTTTTCAATTATAATGACTTAAAGACTTATGAAATGAGGCAGGGGAGCCAAGCGGCGCTGTGTGATGTGGTAAGTGTAAGGTATTCACATTTTATAGATGAGAAGCTGAAACAAAGAGAAATAAAGACCTAAAGAGTCTCACAGGAGACTCTGATAAAGCTGAGGTTTGAACCAAGGCATCCTGGGTGCTGTTCTGATCTCAGCGTCCTAAACCAAGAGCTTGTATCCCAGAGCATCTCCACAGCTGCCACGTAGACGGGTTATTTACTGTGTTATCCACGTAATATGCAGACATCTCTAGTCATTTGATAGCTCTCTTTTTTTCTGGTGATTACTGCTGTGGCTGCTACAGGTTTCCACAGCCAGGGACTTTTCAGCAGCTCTTGCAAATCCCTTCTCATGTGTAAATACCTGAGAACAACAAAGCTTCTGATACTTAAGACTCTCAGATCAGAGTGGGTGCTGAGAGAGTGGGGATTATCTGGTGTCTCAGGCATAGCCTTGGTAGTTGCCTGGTTTTCTCCCTGGCATTTTTCCTTCATGCCTGAAAGAATCAGCCATCACTGTGTTACCTTCGCAATGTGGAGTGTCCTGGTGGAGCATCCAGGCAGGATGAGGGGCCTTTTCGTGACCCAAGGTGCAGGGTTTGTGTTGTGGGCCAGCAGAAATAACCCTGGGTGGGTGCTGGAGAGTGTCTGCTCAACTATCAGCTGGCGTGGAACCACAGCAGACACACAGGACAGGTCTAATTCAAGACCTAACTGTGCATGACCTGGGCCTCCTCAGTCTTCACTGGGGTCACTGGGTGATGCCAGAGACACCTTAGGCCAGCACAGAGATTCCTGTCTCCCCCAAGGAGAGGGTCTGGGCTTCCAAACGTGGTCCTTAAAGTGTGGAAAATTGGCCAAAGGGCGAGGCATGGAGTTGTAATGTTCCCTTTGCCTAAAATGCTTACAGAGTTACAGTGTGCAAATCACTTTGGCTCCAGTGATTTGAAGATCGCTGTGTCCCATGCATCAGTATTATTATCATCATTAAAAACTGATCACCAGGCAGGCCCAACACCCTGCTTTCGTCCCAGGGGTTGTCGCAAGCTGTGGCTATGCCTAAGACTCCTGCAGACATTAACCCAACAGGTCCTGAATTTAAAACTATTATAATCACAGCAAGTTAATCAAATGCAGGTGTCTCACATCCTGGCATTTCCCATTTCTGTCTCCTTCAGTCCCTTCTGCGTTGGGTCCTTTCCCCTCCTGCAGATCGCAGCTTGCCGAGTGTTTAACAGTGCGTTGAAAGCTGCTGACAGCAGCAATAGCTGCCAAAAGCTCCTCATGGGAGCACTTATTAACACTGGAAAGAGCATCTGATTAACATAGCTCCAGCTTCTGCTGCAGAGGCACCAAGTAACAAGTCCTTGGCCAGTGGAGTGGGTTTTAGGTGATAGAAAACAGAACTGTAACCCAAAATCGTGCAGAAGCAGAGATGTCATCTCTGAACTCTGGCCGATGCAACCAAAGCTGGTGCAGTTTGTTACCATGACAAAATGGTTTCTCTGGTTGGAAGGAAGAGTTGATTTTCTTAAAACCTACGGCCAAACGCTTCTTCACTAGCAAAAATAATGTGGTTTAAGAGTGGGATTCGGGACTCCCAGCTTGTGCAGCTCCTCTGTGGCCCTTGCAACATTGTGCTGCGGCAAAATGAGTCGCTTTGTGGCAATATTGCTTTTGTGTTGCTTTTCCATAGGTAGAGAGTTGCGAGAGCAGCTCCCACAGCATGGATGAAGTCTCGCTCAGCGAATTTGGAGAGTGGACCGAAATCCCTGGGGCTCACCACATCATTCCTTGCGGTTTCATTAAAATCGTGGAGATTTTGGCCCGCTCCATCCCCGAGTCTGTCATTCAGCTCCGCAAGCCGGTCAAGTGCATCCACTGGAACCAGTCGGTCAGCAAGGAGATCGAAAGGGTGGCCGACCACAACAGCGACCTCCCCGAGGAGGACAAGGGCTCCGACGTCTTCGTAGAGTGCGAGGACTGCGAGTTCATCCCAGCCGACCATGTCATCGTGACTGTGTCTCTGGGAGTCTTGAAGAAGCGCCACGAGAGCCTGTTTCATCCCCGCTTGCCCGAGGAGAAGGTGCTGGCCATTGAGAAACTAGGAATCAATACGACCGACAAGATTTTCCTGGAGTTCGAAGAGCCTTTCTGGAGCTCTGAGTGCAACAGCATCCAGTTTGTCTGGGAGGACGAGGCAGAGAGCGAGAGCTTGACTTATCCCGAGGAGCTGTGGTACAAGAAGATCTGCAGCTTCGACGTGCTCTACCCACCGGAGAGGTACGGCCACGTCCTGAGTGGCTGGATCTGTGGAGAAGAGGCTTTGATAATGGAGAAGTGCGATGACGAGACGGTGGCGGAAACGTGTACCGAAATGCTGCGTAAATTTACAGGTGAGCCACGCTCTGGTTCCTGTGGTGAGCGGAGGGGAGAGGCAGAGTGGGGCTGGGATGCTGGATAACCACTAGGAAGGAAATGCAGTAAAGGCATTTTTAGTTCTTTGGCGTTTTATGTCCCTTTGGATGGGCTGTGCCTGTGCTTCCAGCACACCTCCTGTTTGGGTGTGCCTGAGAGCTATTTATACAGAGGGGCTGATAAACAGCTCAGGAAGTGGTGGGTAGAAGTGCTTGAGGATTCCACATCCTCTGCTTTTATTTAATCACAAATAACCCTTGAGCAGCTGCAGCTGTTGGACTGAGGGCTCCTGAGGACTGATCTCCGCTGCGGAAAGCAGCACAGCTATTTTAGAGCCTGCGGAGTTGAACCTGTTTAGCTCAGCTGAGATCTGGTGGTTGAATCGCATCCCTGACTTCCATTCAACATGGGGCTGTGTGGAAATCTCACTGGGCTGAATTTCCAAGTATCCATTGATCTTGAGACTTTGTTTTCTGAGTGCCTCTCCTAAACCTTCCTGAACATCACAGATTTCACACGCGCTGAGCACACATCACATTAAAGGCAGCAGCTGGAGCGAGACAGATCTTATGTGTATTATGCTGAGAGAAATTACTACTGAAGTTTGTAATACTTGAACACACCGGGCCTTAGTTTGTCTGCATTCACTTCTTTACAGCTTGCACACCTTCCCAAAAAAAAGGGCTTTTTGTATTTGCAGAGTTCTTTGAGATCCTCTGATGGGAGACACTGCACAAGTGCAGTAAGGTAATGGCACTGAAACAGCAACTGACTTGAAACAGCCAGCCTTGAAGTAAGGACTTTGGATTTATACACAGTTAGAAGCAATTGTAAGAGCAGCATCCTCCAAGGTTACTTGTATTTTATGGTGTTTTAGAGATGGGTCCCATGATTAAGCTATTTCTATCTGTCTGCTAGCTCTTGGTAGCCAAATCTCAACACCCACTTGGTTTCCAGCTTGACCTCTTGTCCGTGGACTTCCAAATAAGCGAAGAAATTTGCCTTCACAAATGTAGCTTCCCCCTGTGCTTACACACCATTTACTACCAAAACCGTGGTGATCTAGAGGAAGGGTCCTGGAAGCTGAGGACCTCCTGCATGACTGACTGCAAAGAAGCAGGCTGGATCAGTGAGAGCTGGATTTGGCAGCTTCAGCCTCCCGAGCTGTGGTGTTGGGTATCCCTACGCTACGTTGCAGTGTTGGTACACATACACCTCCTTTCCTCCTGACCCCAGCAGGCCAACTGCTGCCCTGCACAGGCGTAGGAGGTGGCTCCTCTCTTTAAGCCAAATTATTCCAGTGCTGACATCTCCCTGAGCATATGAACAACCTCATTTATTGCAGCTCTTTTTGCTTAAGATCTCTTGTTTTTCTTAAAACTCCTTGATTCATCAGTGGGAATTTGGCTCTTGGGGACTTTCTTAGTTTGGCAGAGGGGAGCATTCTCTCCCTCTTCATTCTTGGGCTCCTTCACTGCGTTACTGGAAATCGGTTGGCGCTGGGTCCTGGGTATGTGCTGCAGTTGCTGTCCCAGCTGATGCTGCACCTGGTCACTGTCCATCAGCCTCAGCAGTGTGAGCTCTGTCTTGGCCTTCTGCTAATCCTGGCCTATCTAACCCTGGAGCATTTCAGACCGAATTCACCAGCGCCTTGCCCTGCCGTGAACGTTTTGTGCATAAGCTGAGAGGCCACCTCAGCTGCGAGAAGAAAACCTGTTCTTGGAGCACCCACTGCACAACCTGACCTGTGACAAAGCAGCTTTCTGTCTGTCATCTAACTGTAGTCAGTTCTGAAAATGTCTGGTCTCCTGTGGTCCAGTTAGCACCGCCAAATGCAGCGTTTAAAGCGTTTCGCACCACTGAACTTCATGTGAGTCAGCTGAGTTGGGAAAGTAGTCCTCCTAGGATCCTAAGCTCAGTGCAAAGAAAGACTAATCTGTAAGTCAGTTCAGATCTTCCACACCTCGCTTGGTGCTCTGTTACATCTTCTGAAGAAGCTCGTCTCTGCCAAGTATAGAGACAGCCTTATGTTCAGTAATGAAAGCAGGTACTGTGAGCCTTTTAATGTTCACTTTGCCTTTCGTAGCTTTCATGTTCTGGGTGTAAAATCCTCCACATTCTTACATAGAATCACAGGATGTGTGGGGTTGGAAGGGACCTTTAAAGCTGATCCAGCCCAACCCTGCAGTCAGCAGGGACATTGGTACCAGATCAGGTTGCTCACAGCCCCATCAAGCCTGGCCTTGAATATCTCCAGGGATGGGGCCTGCACCACCTCTGGGCAACCTGTGCCACTGATCGACCACCTCATGGGGAAGAGCTTTTTCCTCAGAGCCAGCCTAAATCTGCCCTTTTCCAGTTTAAAACCATTCCCCCTCGTCCTATCGCTCCATGCCCCAGTGAACAGCTCTTCCCCAGATTTCCTATAGATTTCTTATAGATTTCTTATATACCTTCTTCTTCTATTAAAGAATTAATGTGTTACCAGTTGGGTTCCCATCTTCAGCTGTGTTTTCCCAGTCCATTGCTCGTGGAGGCCTTTGCTTTGGCTTCAGAAGGCGTTAGACCACTCAGTGTTATTTCACACTGAGAGGAGATGATCTGCCCCCGTGACCTTAAATTTCACATGTAGGTTAGTGCTGTGGATTATCTGGCTTTGCTGTGAAAAGCTCTGAGGATTGTTCTAACCTGAGAGCCATTGGCAATTACTGCTGTTCATTCACAGCGGGGTGGCTGGAAAGCAGCCTATCCCCTAAATCTGATAAGTGGGATGGCTTTGAACAATTGTAAGTCTTGCTCTGGTTTTGTTGTTGTCTAAGCTCTGAGTGTTAGGAGCCAGAACAAAGCAACTGCAGGCCTTGAGTTGTCCTGTCCATCCTCCAGCTGTCTGTCTGCAGGGGAACTGATCTCTTTTGGCTTCTGTGTTGTGCCTGCCACCCTCATATGGATGGCTGGGATGCCCTGATGTCTCTCTGGTGTCTTCTACCACATGGAGCTAGGGCAGGAGATTGGCTTTGGCTGTGGGAGCCGTGCAGCTGCGTTTTAATGTCCCAAGGCTCCTTACCCTGCTCCACGCTGGTCTCTGCGTGAAGCTCTGCCCTCTGCCACCTGCTCCACATTGCAGTGCTGCGGTTTCCCTTGTGACAAAGTTGCTATGTGAAGGATGATTCCCTGGTGGGAAGACTGCTGATTACCCATGTGTGTGTGGTACAGGGTCATCCATGGGAAACACTGGAGAGGGACAAAGCTGTTGTTTTTACCATTCTGAACAGTTGTGCTCTTGAATATTACTGGATTTATACAATTATCAGTTGGGCTGATGACTCCACAAACCCCTTCATTAACAAATTTCAGTCTTTGAGCAGACCTGTGGCCTTATCTGCAGGCTGGCAAGCCCTCATCTCCTTGCTTATAACGCCGTATTCCTAATGTTAATCGTCTTCTTAATCAACATCTTACTTGCTGACTCCTGAATTGAAAACCTGGGTACCTTGGCAGCGGACCATGAGAACGTGCCCTGGCTACAGAGGAGGCACAAGTGCAGACGCTTCTTTCATTTGAAAATCCATGATCTGATTGTTTCTGTGCGATGCAGTGTGATGGATGACCGCTTTGGCCCCGTTTGGTGTGGTGTTGTCCAGCAGCTTTCACGGTGCGTTCTCCTGGGCTTTCCCACAGCCCCGAAAAATCAAACGTGATGTCTTACTTCCTTGACACATCCAAGAGCTCCCTGTTCCTGGGCTCCCTTGGGCTTTTCACTTCCAT